GCGTACACCCCCGTCAGGCTCGGCAGGTCCCACGTTCTCGTCTGCCTGGTCCAAAACACCCCATCCCCTTTTGCCCAGAAGATCCCCACCACCTGCTCCGGCGCCGGGCGCTCGCCCCGGTTCACCTGCGCTCGGATCTCCAAGGCCGTGTAGATGACTGGGTCGATGGTCCTGCTCGCACGTGAGTGGGTGAGTCCTGCGCTCCAGGGCCAGGAGCTTGAACTGCTGGTCAGCGCCCTTGGGGATCTCACCGCTCGAGTGCTTCTTCCAGATCCCCCCAAACATCCGTAGCTCTCCCTGGTGCCTCTTCATCGCCCAGAGGAGCAGGGACAGCTTGCCCTCCTCCGAGTCCAGGTCCTGCTGTGACATTGGCTGGTCCCTTCCAAGGCCAGTGGCACCCTTGCGGGGGGCCGGTGTCGCGGGCATCTCCTCCAGCAGCGCCTCCTGGTGCCATGGGTTCTGCGACTCTCTGAGCCTCCTGATGTAGGGGACATACTTTTCCTTGATGTCTTGCATGGGGATGTCCTCGGGGTCATCCAGCTCCAGGGGGCAGAACAGCCCCCTCTCCAGTGCCTGCTCCGGGGTCAGTTCCCGATGCTCCCTCAAGGCCTTATGCAGCTCCTCCTTCTTCCGGATCGCCTGGTCCACCTGGGGGTGGTAGAGCTGGAAGCTCTGCGCCTCCGCCTCCTTCAGGGACCGCTGCACTTTGACCTTGATCTCCTGGCATTCCCGGACCTTCAACGCCTCGTCGTCCGCCTCCATGGACAGGATCTCCTGCCGGATGTCCACCCGCCTGTTGAGCGGGACCACGTCTGCCATGGTGATCTCCTCTGCCGTGTCCGTTTTCGGAGGAGCTCTCCCCAGGACCGTGCCGTCCACCAGGTTGCGGTCTGCCTGTGCCCGGGTACCACGGGCCAGCGGCACCCAGGCTTCCCCCTTTCCGCTGCTGGATCCAGGTCGCAATGAGCAGGTTGTAGGTGATGCCGTCCGCCTCATAGGTAGCCGAGGGTGCTTGGAAGGGGACGAACTCCTTGCCTGGCAGACCCAGCACTGCTTGGCTGCCTCTGGCCACCCCGCGCCGCATGCCTTGCACATGAACTTGTAATCTGAGTGGCCTGCATCGAGTCTGTGCATCCGCTGGGTGCCAATGCACGCCTTGTTCCTCTGGAACTGTGAGGCCCAGACCTCCTCCTGCCGGATCTGGATCTTCATCGGAACATAGGCCTCCAGGATGCGAATCACCAAGTCCTCCGTGAGATTCTTCCCGACAAACTTGTGGAACAGGGAGACCGCCTCCTCCACCGTGACGTCCCTCAGCAACGTGGCCGCCGATGCCGGAAGGACCGGGGAGGTCCACTAACTTGAAGTAGCCGGGACGGCCCTCCACCGGCACCAGGGAGACCGGTTTGTTCACATGAGCCGTGGTCTTCTGGGAAGCCGCCACGAAACCCTTCAGCCGCTTCGTGGGTGGTGTCTGTGCCTTTTCCAGTGGAGTAGCCCGCTCCGTGACGTCCGCATCTTCCATGTCCTTGTCCTCCTCCTCGGCGGGGCCAGGGGCACCCAAGCCGGAAGTCGGTGTGGCAAACGCCACACGGAGACGCTCCAGTGCACTGGAGAGGTCATTCATCACGTCGGTAGCCGAAGCCGACGGGGGGGCCTCGGGCTCGTCCAACACCAGGCCGGCCGCCACTGCCGCCTCGCGTGTGCGAATTTCCTGGGCCTCATGGCTGGCCATTTCCACCTCCTCCGCGGTGAGCGTCTGGTCCTCAATCAGCTCGAAGGAGGTTGCCGAGGTTGCCGAGGAAGCCATTGCTTGATCGGGGTTAGTTCGAGGGTGTTCAAACTCAAATCTTTTTCACACAAATTGGGTTCAAAGAACCCAGAGCAAAGCTTGAGCCAAAATGGCATGCGCCATTATGGTCAAGCATTTCAAACACAGTTTATGTTTCCACATGCGTTTCAACATTAACAAATTGACCCATGGCCATATGAACCCGGTATGACTACCTCTGGGCTTTAAATCATGGTTTCCCCGGGTTACCGACTTTAGTGGCGAAACGCCTGGAAGCACTGGGTCTGGTTGACCGACATGCTGAGAAAGGGTCGCAGTGTTCACCAGCACTGAACCCTCAGGCCAGACAGTGCGCTCAACCCACAATATGAGGGCTACCATCGATTCCCGAAAAGATGCATCCCAACGTGGACCGCATCCAACCACAAAACCCTCGGCAAACTGCGTTCGCGGTCTCCACCGTACCTCAAATACCACGTGCTGATTCAGAGCAAGGGGGGACAAGAGGCCATGAACTTCCCGCATCCTTTTCGGAAAAGGTAAAAACCACTCCCAAAACCAACAATTCACCACAACCCACCCCCCCCCCCCCCCCCCCCCCGGCAGCAAAAAACAAACATGAGGGGGGGGGAAGATGAGGGGGGGGATGGAGGGGGGGATGAGGAGGGGGGGGGCGGGGGTTCCTCTTCTCACCAGGCTGCTCTCAGACCAAGGTGGCTTTGAAGCCTCTCTCCAGCTCGGCCCGATCCAGGTTACGGCCAATGAAAACCAGCCTTACGTCGTGCGTGGCGGATCTTAGCGTGGAGATCCCTTGCTTCATGGGGGCTGGGGGGGAGCGAGGGGCTCATTTAGAGCTTATTTGGGCTCCCTCCCCCTCCCCTCCCTCCCCCCCAGCCCCCATGATTGCTGGTTTTGAAGGGAAACCAAGAGGAGAACCACCATTTTGGGGCTCCCGGCCCGGAAAGAAAGATGCACCCACGTGTCATAAATATCCAAGCGCGAAAATCAAAAGGTGAAAAGTCTACGGCGTCAGCGGGCATGAACCATGACAATGCGTGCGTGACATCTTCAAAACTGCTAGTGTGAATTATGGTGGTTTATTTATATATATTAGGATCCCATTTCGTGGTTGTTCAAACTCTCTACCAACTAATGGACTTATCAGCGGTACCCTGCTCGGCATCTTTGGAGTCGCTTTAAACACCGGATTCGCCAGTGGGCTGCTGGGTTAAGCTTTGGTTTGGGTGGGTTCAAGGTTGGCTTAGGGTTGGTTCAGGGTGGGTTTAGGCTGGGTTTTACGTGTCTGTTGGTTTGACTTTGCGTATGTGGGTGTAGGCTTGGGCGGCTTGGCTGCATTTTAGCTCAGGGTGGCTTGAGCATGGTCTGGAAAAGGCTCGCGGCCAGCCAGCCGAAGGGAGAGTTGATCTGCCCAGATCGCGCAAGTAGGTCCAAAATAATGTGGGGTTGTTGGTTGGGATTGTCCCAGCCTTCATCGTGCCTCAGGTTCTGAAAGGGGCAAGTCAACTGCAGGGAAATTGACTCCCACCCCACCCCACCTACTTCCATGAGCGCAATGGGGCCTCCAGGCAAGAATCAGAAGCCTTCTTATTATGCGTTCTGATTGAAGAGTTCGGATCGAACCTTCCTTGGGCCTGTCCCTTTGAAGCTAGGCAGTTGTGCGACATCTAGCCATCTATATCATCTATGAAAACCAACTGACACGATCCACCAACCCGCCCAAACCCACAAGCACCTACCAAGCACCCACCAAAACCCACCACCAAAACCCATCAAAACCAACCAACCAACCAACCAACCAACCAATCAACCAACCAAAACCAAGCCAACCCAAGCCAACCAACCAACCAACCAACCAAAACCAAGCCAACCCAAGCCAACCCAAGCCAACCCAAGCGAACCCAAGCCAACCAACCAACCAACCAACCAACCAACCAACCAACCAACCAACCAACCAACCAACCAACCAACCAACCAACCAACCAACCAACCAAAACCAACCCAAACCAACCAAAACCAACCCAAGCCAACCCAACCCAACCCAACCCAAACCAAACCCAACCACATTTGCCTCTGGCAAGCGGCTCAACGCTTCAGTAGAAAGAGCCATGTCACATCCAACAAAACGCCCCCGGTTTCTAGGAAGTGGGGAGTCAAAAGGATCACAAGGGCCAGATTTGCATATGTTTCAAGTTCATCAGCCCTGAATTTTGACATGTCCTGCGCCATGCAAATCGCTTCAGTTGGTCTTTAAGGACACGTCCTTCTTCACCCGGATGAGCCGCACGCAATATTCAGTGAGCCCCGTTGTCTCATGGTACTTTGGTGAGCGTCCCCATGCCATCCCCTGAATGACATTTTTTACATGGGACATGGTTGTTTTCAGGGCACCCTGCTTCCGATGTTTCCTTCTTTTTTAGGGAAACCTAAAGGAAGCAACCCTTTTTGGAGGTTCCCCTATGTTAAGACATACATGTATATTGACCGCTGCCCGGACCATCCGCCCATTCTTGTAACCGAGGCGCCGATTCTTGCGCTCCTCGTTTTCAGGCCAAGGATCTTGCGGCTGGCCGCCGAAGATCATATGGATCCCTGCCGGATACGGCCATGGGTCAAAATCCAAATCGGTTAGCCCCCAGTGAACATCCGATTCAATCCAACCACTAAAATAGGTTCTAAAATGGGTGGTGCACCTACCCCAAAATGGAACCATTGGTTTTGACACACAGCCATAATAAATACAAAACGGCTGTGGGTCGAAAATAGGGTAACCCCAAAATGGCTTGCCCTGGCAAATGGAACCAAGGACTTAAACCTGCGGTGCCTTACTGGTTTAATTTTGACCCATACCCGTACAAACAACCTTTTCTTTGTTGGGTAACCCAGTGCTTCCAATTACCACTATAGTAGGCAAGTGGGAAAGCCTGGAAGTAGAACCTACCAGTAGATGTAGGAGTACCAGAAAAACCTACTATAGTGGTGACTGGAAGCATTGGGCAAGCTTGTCCAGCATGTCTTGCTGTTAGCTGATCACTACAGCCCTTGGCTCATGGAAACACCCTCCTTGCATAAATGCTGGTAGAATACTCACATTGCTCGCAATGTTGTGGCAAACATGCTTGACTCTCAGGCACAAAGAATGTGACTTGAAAAGACGTCTTTCAATGCGCTGTCTGGATTTCCGGTCATATCAAGCTAGTTTCATGTTGCCCGCGCATGTTGGAGTTGTTGGGTCGCTATGGGCAAGACCATCTGGATTCCCGTCCCCCCTCAGGCCTTGAAAAACAAAGCGCTCGTCGCATCCCTTCACCTCGGCCGTTCAGCTTCTGTTGACTTGATTTCTATTCCGACACTCCTGCGAGGTCGCACCGATCTGTCAGGCTGCACACGCACCCATTACACGATCCCGCAAATGCTTCGTGGATTCCAACACCTGAAATAAGGGATCCAACCAAAGGACCCAAATACATCACAATGAGCTTGTCTTACCCCCAAGTGAGCTCGCCTTAAACAAGGCAAAGGGATTTACGGCATACAAGGAGCACACGGGCCGAGGCCACGTGTTGCAGAAAAGGAGAAAGCTGATGGTGTGTCTGAAAACGGGGTTGCCCAAAAAATAGCACAACCTCCAAAATGGTTGGCCTCCCTTACCAACCCAAAAAATGGTCCCCAAAATCCGTGCAAATGAGGCGCCGCCAGCACACCTTTGGTGCGGAAGATGTCTGTCCCGCGCTCCGTGAGGAGCTTGGCGATCCAAGCGTTCAGCTTCTCCCTGTCGCACTCCCCAGGGCACTCGATGCCCACCTCGAGTTGTTTGACTGCCGCCACATCTGGGCGTCTTTTTTGGAGTTGGTACGCCCCTCTTTGTTTTGTGTTTTTTTGTTTGTTTTCTCTAAGGGGGAACCAAAAGGAAAACCACCATTTTGGATTTGAAAAACAACACACACACACACACACACACACACACATGGGTAGGCCTCCAAATAGAACCCGGAAATGGGTGTTGGCTCTTTCAAACAGCCCCTTTCGGTTTGGGAAGCTATGATTCCCTCCCTTTCCAAACCGACACGCCTGTGAGCGGCCGAGCGACCGAGCTCACCGTCTGGTCGTGCTGGTGGTCCTGGTGGAACAGAAATGCTTCATCTGGGTGTCCCAAAAAAACCAGCCAAGCATGAGCTCCCTGGGGGGAAAAAACAAGCAAACAAACAGAGATAAGCCAAGCATGAGCTCCACGAAACAAACAGCGAGATAGAAACCAAAAAGGCGAGTGGGAACCAGCCCCTCACGTCCAAGCGCAACTGGAGCTCCTGGTCGTCCCTCAGAAACTCCGCGTCGCTGTCGAGAACTCGGTCCAGCGAGAAGCCCCGGATGCCGATGATCTCCTCCACCTTCACCTTCGACTTCCTGAGGTTGGGGAATTTTCTATCTGTTCATTCCGACCATTCTTTTCAACCATCCTTCTTTTCAAAAGCCGATCGCTGCTTCCCCCTGGGGTTCTGATGGCTTCCTGGAAAGGATCCCGGATCCCTGGAAAGAATGGAAATGGAAGTGTCCGCTCGAAATTTACCTGGTTTGTGGGTGCAAAAGACAGGCTAGGGGTCAACAAAAACAGGGTCCCCTTTAAGAGGGGACCCGGCTTTTTCAGCCACAAACCTGTTTCCGACCTCCGGGGTGCCCCCAATTTTAGATGCCTGGGAGCTTCTCAAAAATAGTTGGACACCTGAAGATGTGGGTTTTCCTTTTGGACTCCAACTTTTCGCCAGCAAGAAGCGGAGGTTTCGAATTGAGAACCCCCCGAAAAATTTAGGTGAGCTTGCTGAACACAATGCACGCAATTCATAGGATGACCTCGCTGCGAAACATATGCCTGGCAATTTACCCTTTGGTGGACATCATTTGGGTGGGGATTCATGTCCACCAACCACTTTTCGGGCTCTTCTATTCAAATTGTAGTAAGATGGCTTCTCAAACGATGAACCCCTTTGTGGATGGTTTTGAAGGGAAACCACTAAAGAACAACATTTTTCAAAAGGCTCCTATTTATGAGCAACTCCCATGATCCTGGAAAATCGTTGTACCTATGGCTGCATTTCGTGGCATGGGAGTTTCTCCAATTTGGTCCATGTCTCCGAAACTTCCAGACCCAACTGCCAAGTCCGCAAGGAGTTGTTGCAACATGATTCCGGGCAAAGCAAATAAGAGGTCACCGGCCGAAAATAATTGAAATGGAGCTGCAAGCAAGGAACCTTCACATGTTTCGATGTCGCTCGGTCAGATTCTGCAGTCACAAATCTTAGCCCCTTGCACAGGGGGAACCCTTTTTTCTCACCGGGAAAAAAGGAAGGGTTAAAAAAACAAGTTCGGAGGGTGAAAAAAAAGGGAGCCCCTTGCACAGTTCTGGCAGTCACTCTCATCTTTACCCATCCTCTGAGAGAAACCGTCCCCACGAATTGCAGCCAGGAGCGCTGGGTGTAGATCATCGGCGCCAGGCGGTTGATGCTTCGCACCTCCTTCGTCAACTCTTCAATCTCCGACTCGGAGACCTGGAAGGCCCACGGCCGCAAAAGCCCCCAGCACTTCTGACCCCTTGCCAGGTTGGGGCTCTTTGCCCCCGAATTGCGGGCACTTCAAGCAGGACAACACATTGCAAGCAAAGAAAAAAGGGGCGACTCCGCCCGCTTTCGCCCCCGACCTGCCCGGAAAGTTACACCCCCCCAACCATCAACCCGCAAAAAACACGAGCATCTGCAAACCCCACCTCCTGCTTCCGCTTCGCGGATTTCGTGGCGTCCCCGTCCACCCGCGGATTTCCCGTCGCCCCGGCCGCCATCCCGTCGCTCCCGTCGCCCATCCCCCGCCAGGTCGGTCTTGTTCACGATGATGCGGTCCGCAAAGGCCAGCTGCTCCACCGCCTCGTTCTCCACGCCCTCCGGCTTCTCCTGCGCCCAAGCAAACCCGAGGCGGGCGAAGCGGGCGATGCGTGCGTGCGGTGTTTGCTTTGGCCCTCTGCTGTTGATGCTTTTTTGGCTGGTATCCTCTAGGTGTTGACTTTATCGGCTGGTATCCTGAAAAGTGGATGATTCTTGGGCTGATATCCTTAGGTTGAAGGGTCTAGGCAAGGAGTTGCTAGGTGGAAACCAGGAAGCTTGGAAAAAGGGCAGAATTCAAGAGAAGCCGCGACCCAAAACTAGCAGCATGTTGTTTGAGACACTCAAACTGGCCAGGTGAATTTCTCATGGCCAAAGTCCAAAGTCGCCAAAGAACTAAAACACCAGCAGACTTTGACCTAAGAGAACCCCAAATACCGCCCGTCATCGAAGCGCAACCACCGAAAGGCGATGCTGTGTTTTTTGGACCGGGAAGCCGTTGGGATTTGTGTCCACCACTCAGGTTCCAAGCAATCTGCGCTTTATTGGGTTTTCCCGGGCCCCGAAAACCCAGTGATTTTCCCAACAGCTCTCCTAACGTCAGCTTCCCCGCAATTCGTGCTTTGGATTGGCGGTTTCGAGGTGTACCAATTCAAGCCGCCAATTGTCAGCTTCCCTCCAATTGGTTGTTTGGATTGGTGGTTTGGAGGTTTGGGATGGTTCCCCATTTGCCCACAGGCAAATGAGGGATTCAAATCCCACCACCAATCCAAACCACCAACTAAGTATTTCCTGAAACCATGGGGTGAAGCTCATTAAAGTCTGAGGCTGGTAGGACCAGCCACCCACAACCTTACGCATGTCTCACTCCTTGAGTTCATGGACTTGTCACTCCTTTTCGGGAAGACCATTTCAGCGGCAAACAACCAGTTTGGACTTTCTTTGGCTCATCCACTCGCAAAAAGTGAGTATCCCACAAAATGGAACTTGCTTGTTGGTCTCCCTTCAAAACCACCAAAAGATGTACCAACTCCAAAAAACAAACACCCAACAAATTTCCCAGTGTTGCTCTTCTTTTTGCAGCCGGAATGGTCATGGGAGCTTTAGCTATGCCCTGCGACATGTTGGATCTTTAACCTGTCACTTTCTGGGACGCGTATTTTCTGCGACCAATTAAAGAAAGGAAATCCCGAAATCCATGTTGTGGGTCCTTAAAAGAAGACCCACCCAATCGGGAAGACCAACTGCAGCCAATTTCCCAAGCCACGCCTCCCGCAGATGCTGCAGGCAGTGCTTCGCGTCCACCACCGTGATGATGCCGTCCTCGAGACGGACCCGGTCGACGGTCGCTACCCCGCGATGTGTCGCCAAGGGGAAGTGGCTGTGGGCCAAAAATAGCCACTGAAAGGTAAATGGAACCAAAATGGAAACCATGGTTTAGGTGGACACCGAGTTTGGGCGAGTAACCACGCCCGGTATCCAAATGGTCTACCCGGAAAAAAGTCGGCCGGAGCTATACGGGTCCCTCCACAAACCCGTTGTGATGGTGACCCAGGGCAAAACAGATGGCCTGTTGGACAAAAAAGATGTTCCCTGGTAGATGGAAGAACCCCCCATCTATTATCAATCAAACTAGCCCAAAAAGGACACCTAGGATCCAGATGGTTGGGTTTTGTCATAGAACTTTTCCAAATACCCCCCAGACACACCATCACCCCAAACACACCTCCAAAAATACAGTAAAGATATAGTTCAGTCTTTCTGAACGGGTGTTTCTTTTTTGGGTGTGTGTGTGTGTGTGTTTGGGGGGCTCCCTTCAAGGGTTCCTCTCTCTTTTGGACATACCTACGGCATGATTTTTGCATCCCGACTCTTAGAGCCCAACGGCCCTCAGCGGCAATGGGTCAAAAAACCAATGGCGATCCCATTTTCGGGCGGATGAAGACCCATGTACCACCAATTTTGAGGTTCACCAGGGGTTTCCTAGTTTTTGACCACCACAGCCACATGAGTGGGAGGAAAAGGATTAGTGGAGTGCTCTTGATAAGAGCTAGATGAAAAGCTGGAGACAAAGACAAACCCTTTCTCCGAATGGCGAATTGGGAAATTGTTGAAGTGTCCTGGAAACAACAATAACTGCCTTCACAACCGGAAACTCAGAGGCAACCAAGCGTTTTAGGGGTTTCCAATGGATATGCGCAGCTGACAAATGACTGTAGTCTACTGCTGGCTTCCTCCCCCTTTTGTTTTAACAGGGATCCAAACCCGAAGATGGCTGAGAGGCAACCCTTACGTCGTGCCTCGGATTGGAGTTGAATCCCTGGATCTTGTAAGCCCTCCTTCAGAGCACCGGACTTCAAAGTAACAATTGCGGGGAAGCACCAATTGGAACCTTATAGGGGTCATTCCATTTCCACCAGCCAAAACAAAACTTCCATTTGCTTAAGCCCCCCGGAAAAAATGAGTCATATTTTCCAGTAGTGCTAGGTTCTCTTCAAAACCACGAGGAAAAATAAAAACAAAAAACAAACTTCAGCAAATGGAAGCAACTGGTGCCTTGGATCTTGGGAGCTTGCGCCAGAGCGCCGGCGATCGCGCGCTCGCGCGCTCGCGGCTCGCTCGGCCGGGGCCCCCGCCAGGGTCATCTTCGCCTGGATCAGGTCGTCGGCGAAGAAGGTCTGCGCCACCGGAGCGGGGTCCGCGAGGCCGGTGGTCTCGATGATCACCCCATCCAGCTTCGTGCCCTGGAAAAAGGGGGGGGGGAGGGACGGAACTACTGGGGGAGGGAAGGGGAGGGGAGGGAAGGGGGGGGAGAGGCGGGGGAGGGGTGACATGGGTGGCGGCTTCCAGATTAGCACCAGTGCTGAAAATCTGGAAGGAAGCACTGGGTTTGGGGGGGCGGGGGGGGGAGGTTTTGTGCTTCCTTCCGGCGTTTCACTACTATAGTACGTAATTCTTTGGGTTTTACCATGGAAGGGAGGATGGTTCTCAAAGTGGTCCCCGAAAATCTGATAGCCAATCTGGGGGAGTGATTTGGCTTGGTTTCTCAAAATGTTTGGCTTCTAAAATATGGGTTTCCTTGGACTTACCTTCGAACAAATACCAGCCAAAATGGGTCCACCACTGGAACACGTCTGCTTCTCGTTGGAAAACCTATCTGACGAACGACATTTTGAAGTTGGTACCCTTTGTGGGGTTGTCACAAACCCAGTGCTTCCAGTTACTACTATGGGTGAAAGGGTTACATGATGGTTTCCCCTGGTTACCTATTAGAGGGGATTCCCTCCTGGTTGCAAAGGGACACCTAGTAGGACACCACTGCAACAAGAGAAACCACGACCCTCCGGCACAAGGACACCAGGGATTGATTTTGAACCCAGAAAATACAATGGCAAGTGCAAAATCAGGAAATTACCCCCCATGGGTTTATGTCTTGCTGGCTTCCCTGAACAAAACAACCAGTCAAAAGGGGGCTTAACTTAGCTGCCCTCAGACCCCCCGCAAAAAAAGCTGAACACTCTTAGCGGCTTCAAATTCGGAAACTAGCCCTCAACCTCATCTGCCCTCAGATCCCCCGCCAAAAAGTTGAAAACTTGTGGTTTCAATTCGGAAACCAGCTGAGAGGATCTAAAAAGCTAAGGAACCGGAGGGAAGGGGAGCCAAGTGAAGCGAAGCTTCCGGGCTCGCTACGCCGCGAGCCTCCAGGGAGGTCTTCTTCAAGATGCTGCGGAGGCCCTGGATCAAGTCCCCTCTGACCTCGATCGCATGGCCCGGGTCCACTTTTGGAGCTGGGAAAGCCAGCAGGGAGGTGGTCCCTCCGTTTTCGAGATGGGTATGGGTCAAAATTACACCACCAGAAAAAACCGCAGGTTGCAGTCCTTCTTTCCATGTACCAGGGTTCCGTTTGGGGTACCTATTTTTGACCCACAGCCAGATTGCTTTCAAGGAAAACCAGAGGTTTTTGGGATGCCAATCCATGCAGCGGCCCTCCACCCACCCTGCTCCCACAGACTGCTCAACCGTTGCTTGCCCGATGCGGGGAGAACAAAAACAAACAACAGGTAGAAAGGCATGGAGCAATGCTTGAAGCAAGCTGGCAATGTTGCAAAAGCAGAGACCCAAGCAGTCTGGCTTGAAGCTTTGCAATCTAAGCCTAAGCGCCCCACGCTCAGGCGGGTCTTTGCCATCAACCCCAAATGGTTTGATCACAGGGTGTTTGTGTGTGTGTGTCAATATAGGAGAACCAACAAAAAGGCGGTACCTTTGACAGGTGGCAGTGCAGCAAATGCAGCCGTTGTTCATCTCGATGATCTGTTCCGCACCCAAGTCCTCCCCGTGAAACGTAATCTTGACCCCGAATGCATAACGTTCCCATCCAAAAGTAATACAAGACTGGCACCAAATCCCCCGATGGCACACACACTTTCCCGGTGCTTCCAGGCTCTTCTGGTGCATTGTTGCTTTTTCTTATCAATACAAGGCACTACAGCAGGTCGCCAGGGGTTGCCCTATCCATGGTAGAACCTAGAGGTAAGGATATCGAAGGGTTGCCTACTATAGTGGTGACACGCCAGAAGGAAGCACTGGGCTCAATTCAGGGCATTCCTGCCCTCATTCCTTTGTCATGATCAAAGTCGCCCCGTAAGTGGTGGCTTAATCACAACCAACCCCAGTTTCTGACTTGGATAATTCCTAGAAACGGTGAAACTGATGACCCCAGGATCTTTTTCTCCACCACTTGCCACCCCGCTCACCTTTTCCCCCGTCCTCCCTGCGAGCGATGAGCTTGTCATCGATGCCGATCTCCCCGAACTCGTTCTCGATGACGGCGAAGCGCCTGCCGCTGGTCTCCTCGGTTTCAAGGAGAACCGTCTTGACAGGTTCTCTGTGAACAAACCTCGTGACTTCTCATAGCGACAGAAGTCCCGCTTTGCAAAAAACAAGAAGAGCAAGCCACACACACACACACATGGCCCACGTGGCCCGCAAAATCGGGGGGGGGGGGGGCATGGAAGCGGTGGCGGTTTCGCCGCTTAGCGGCCTGGAGGATGTGATTCAGCAGCGTCGTCTTGCCGGAGCCCAGGAATCCCGTGAGGATGTGGGCAGGCACCTCTTACGGACCCCTTGGGGCTGGAGACGCGCCATTCGGCGAAAAGGGCAGGGCCCCCCGAACATGACTGGCTTCCTTTTGGTTCCCGAGAAGATTTCGCCATAAGGGCACCCTGAAAAAAACAGAGGAGGCATCTTTATTGTCCTGTCCCTGTGGAGTTCTCAAAACTACCTTGGACGGTTCCCTTGAACCATTTTTTTGAAGGGCAACTTCGATGTGTCACTTTGATGGATCCAGTTGTACAAAATACAAATGTAAATGCGTGCTGGTGCTGACTTTGGCCCATTGAAGCCAAGCAGAGGTGTGTGTGTGTGTGTGTGGTTTTTTTGTTCTTTGATTTTATATATATATATATATATATATATATATTAATGTACGTATGGTGTGTTTGTGTGTGTTTGTTTGTTTGTTTGTTTGTTTGTTTGTTTGTTTGTTTGGTTGGTTGGTTGGTTGGTTGGTTGGTTGGTTGGTTGGTTGGTTGGTTGGTTGGTTGTATGGTTGGTTGGTTGGTTTTGTTTGTGTGTTAAATCGTTGGTTTTTTTCCTTCCCTGCTTTCTTCATCAGTCTGTCTTTCTTATCCTATCTATGTCCTTTCTTCCGTCTCCTTTCCCTCCTTCCTTTCTTTCCTTCCTTTCTTTCCTTCCTGTCTTTCCTTCCTTTCTTTCGTTCTTTCTGTTTGTCTTTATTTATTTCGTTCTTTCTTTCTTGCTTTATTAGTTTGTTTGTTTCTCTTTTTCCTTCGTTTCTTTCTGTCTTTCTGTGTGATGTTCTTCCTTCCTTACTTGCTGCCTTCCTTCCTTTCTTGATTTTGCTAGTGTGTCCTTTATTTATTTATTTCTTTCGTCACTTCTTTCTTTATTTCTTGCTTTCTTTCCCTATGTTGTTAGTTTCTTCCTTATTTCCTTGTTTCTTGTCTTCTGTCCTTCCTTCCTTCCTTCCTTCCTTCCTTCCTTCCTTCCTTCCTTCCTTCCTTCCTTCCTTCCTTCCTTCCTTCCTTTCTTCTCTTTCTTCTCGTTCTTCTCTTTCTTCTCTTTCTTCTCTTTCTTTCTTTCTTTCTTTCTTTCTTTCTTTCTTCTTTCATTCATTTATTTTTGTTATTTATTTATTTCTTCATTTGTATTTTCTTTCTTTATCTGTCTCTCTCTCTCTCTGTCTCTTGATGTTTTGTTTATTTGTTTATTTGTATTTATTTATTTCTTTATGTATTTATGTCCTTTTTCTTTCTGTGTTTCTGTATTTATGAATTTCGCTATTTCTTTCTTTCTTTCACTCCTTCTTTCACTCTTTCTTTTTCTTTCACTTGTTTATGTACTTTCTTTACTTACTTATGTATTGCATGGTTTTCTTCATTGCTATGTGTTTCTTGACGTATTTACTTCTTTCTTTCTTTTCTTCCTTCCTTCCTTCCTTCCTTCCTTCCTTCCTTCCTTCTTTCCTTCTTTCCTTCTTTCCTTCTTTCCTTCTTTCCTTCTTTCCTTCTTTCCTTCCTTCCTGGCTTCCTTCCTTCCTTCCTTCCTTCCTTCCTTCCTTCCTTCCTTCCTTCCTCTTTTTCTTTGTTGCTTTGTGTCTTTCTTTCTTTATTTATTTCTGTATTTCTTTCTTTTCTTTCTTTCTTTACTTATTTATCTCTCTCTTCTATCTTGCTTTCTTTCTCTCTTTCTTTCAATTTTCTTTCTTTCTTTCCTTGTCAGGCCAATAGGCAAGCCACCTCCTTTCTTTTGGAGCCCAGTTCAACGCCTACCCAACTGCGAAACACTGCGGGCGCTCGCCCGCCGCGCCGCCTTGCCCTGCGCTGCCGTCGCCGCCTCCTCTGCAATGCCCTCCTCCTCACAAAGGTCCGGGGGTTGCCCCAAGCCACGAAAAGCCAGGCTCCGGCTGTTTGTTTTGCAAAAACCGAAGAGTTGTTGCTTCTCTTTCGGTGTTGGGTGTTTGCTCTCAAAACCAACTCAACCAACTCGAAACCTCAAAACCTCAAAACCCTCAGTCAGATCCATTGCCTCCCCTTGGGCAATAGATGTACAGCCAGCTCGCGGCTCTTGGCTCGCCGACTCTGGGCACATCTGTCGCTGGCGCTCCTGGTATCGCTCCAGCTTCCGGCACTCTGCCTGCAGCTCCTGGATTCGTGGCACCTTGGCCGTCGGGCGCCGAGAAGAAATGGAGGCGAGTCACGGGGTGATCGAAAGGTCCGATGAACATGGGATGACCAGTGGTTGGGAAACCACCAAACATCTTTGATACTTCCACACATGGGAAAAGTTGCCCATCGTCAAAACTGGGAACCGAAAGGGAGTATTGATCAACCTGCACATGCTGCTGCTGCTTCTTTGTGAGAGCCACAGTCACCTGGTCAGTTCCATTCATGTTTCTCAGCCTGAAGAAGTACTTTGGTGGACAGGCTCTTCGGGGATCAGCCGGGAAGTATTGGATCCC